TATTTGCGCCCATCTCCGTGAACTAAGTCATTGCGGAGGCCTAGACTAAAAGCCAATTTATGCTTGATCCGAAAATGTGGTCAGAGGCTCCATATGGAGGGTGTTGACCATGCACCCAGATGCACAATGCACTTCTCTCTCCAGAATGCTCTCTCTCCAGCCAATTTGTGCGCATTCATTGTTTCATAACCTCATTGTGTGAATTGTTTGCGCTTGATTGTTAGTGTATATCAATTCCCCATTACATATCTCACCAGTAGTACATTTCTCGTTCATTCCTATAACTTCTATTCTACAATGTCTGTTGCTTTGGTTACGGTAATTATTTTTATGCAATCAATATTATTATTCCAGTCTTCCCGTTCTCATTGTCTGAGTGGACACATTGTTTGCAGAGTGCACAACCTATGCTACACTTGTAAGAAACAAGTTTTGGTTTATTTCATTCAATTTTGTCAATTTAGTCATTGTCTTTTGTTTGGAGCGCTCCTGTCAATTTTGAGTAAGGACGCACACACATAGAAGTAGGCCTATAGGCTACCTGAAAAACCTTTAGATAACCACTCAGCGTGAAAGTGAAAAATGTCATGCTCTGATCGAGGGGAAACGTCATAAAATAGGCCAGCCTGATAACTTCTGATCAGTGCTTGACTTGGACTGAAATAGGTTCCGGTACACATTTTGGATGCTGGTACTGTTTATATTTAGTTGCAGGACCTCTAGAATATTTTTGAGTTAATATTCTATAAGAGGAACGGGAGCTCAAGCAGTAGAAAATTTGAGGTGCGGGACTCAGCGCCGGTGAGCAAATAGCCTACAGCTGTGTCTGTCCCGAGCTCACTGCAGGGAAACTGAGGGCCCAGAATATTTCATACTTTAAAATGATAACCTTGGATTAGAAAACACAACGTGCCATTGGAACACAGGACTTGATGGTTGCTGATAATGGGCCTCTGTATGCCTATGTAGACATTCCATTAAAAATCAGCCGTTTCCAGCTACAATAGCCATTTACAACAATAACAATGTCTAAACTGTATTTCTGATCAATTTGATGTTATTTTAATGGACAGAAAATAGCTTTTCTTTCGAAAACAAGGACATTTCTAAGTGACCCCAAACTTTTGAACGGTAGTTAAGTATTCAGACCCTTTGCTATGAGACTCGAAATTGATCTCAGGTGCATCCTGTTTCCATTGATCATCCTTAAGATGTTTCTACAACATGATTGGAGTCCACCTGTGGTAAATTCAATTGATTGGACATGATTTAGAAAGGAACACACCGGTTGACAGTGGGGAAAAAAGTATTTAGTCAGCCACCAATTGTGCAAGTTCTCCCACTTAAAAAGATGAGAGAGGCCTGTAATTTTCATCATAGGTACACGTCAACTATGACAGACAAATTGAGAAAAGAAATTCCAGAAAATCACATTGTAGGATTTTTAATGAATTTATTTGCAAATTATGGTGGAAAATAAGTATTTGCACAATTGGTGGCTGACGAAATACTTTTTTCCCCCACTGTATATAAGGTCCCACAGTTGACAGTGCATGTCAGAGGAAAAAAAAAAACAAGCCATGTGGTCGAAGGAATTGGCTGTAGAGCTCCGAGACAGGATTGTGTTGAGGCACGGATCTGGGGAAGGGTACCAAAACAATTCTGCAGCATTGAAGGTCCCCAAGAACACAGTGGCCTCCATCATTCTTAAATGGAAGAAGTTTGGTACCACCAAGACTCTTCCTAGAGCTGGCCGCCCGGCCAAACTGAGTAATCGGGGGAGAAGGGTCTTGGTCAGGGAGGTGACTAAGAACCTGACGGTCACACTGACAGAGTTTTAGAGTTCCTCTGTGGAGATGGTTGTCCTTCTGGAAGTTTATCCCATCTCTGCAGCACTCCACCAATCAGGCCTTTATGGTAGAGTGACCAGACGGAAGCCACTCATCAGTAAAAGGCACATGACAGCCCGCTCTCAGACCATGAGGAACAAGATTCTCTGGTCTGATGAAACCAAGATTGAACTGGCCTGAATGCCAAACGTCACGTCTGGAGGAAACCTGGCACCATCCCTACGGTGAAGCATAGTGGTGGCAGCATCATGCTGTGAGGATGTTTTTCAGCGGCAGGGACTGGGAGACTAGTGAAGATCGAGGCAAAGATGAACGGCGCATAGTACAGAGAGAGCCTTGATGAAAATCTGCTCCAGAGTGCTCAGGACCTCAGACTGGAGAGAAGTTTCACCTTCCAACAGGACCACGACCCTAAGCACACAGCCAAGACAACGCAGGAGTGGCTTCGGGACAAGTCTCTGAATGTCTTTGAGATGCCCAGCCAGAGCCCGGACTTGGACCCGATCGAACATCTCTGGAGAGACCTGAAAATAGCTGTGCAACAACGCTACCCATCCAACCTGACAGAGCTTGAGAGGGTCTGCAGAGAAGAATGGAAGAAACTCCCCAAATACAGGTGTGCCAGGTTTGTGGCGTCATATCCAAGAAGACTCGAGGCTGTAATCGCTGCCAAAGGTGCTTCAACAAAGTACTGAGTAAAGGGTCTGAATACTTATATAAATGTGATAATTCCGTTTTTTATTTTTAATAAATCAGCAAACATTTCTAAAAACAGTTTTTGCTTTGTTATTATGGGGTATTGTGTGTAGATTGATGAGGAAAAATACAATTTAATCAATTTTAGAATAAGGCTGTAACCTAACAAAATATGGAAAAAGTCAAGGGGTCTGAATACTTTCCTTAAGGCACTGTATATATGGAAAAATATACGTTTTAAATACTTGAACAATCGATTGGTCGAAAGAACAGACGACCTTCGGTCGACCAATACTTCTTTTTTTTTGTCAGGGACAGCCCTAATATTTTTGGGGGATATAATCTTTAAGAACTAACTATGACCAAAATAAAAGCTAGACTGCCAGGGAGAATTAAAACATTCCAAAAACATTGAATTTAGCAGTATTCATTTGGTTATTATGTTTGAGCAAAATAACACAGCCTTAGCCATGGCAAAATGCATATAATAGGAAACTAGTTTTAAAACTGAAAATTTCTCTCAGCTCTAATGTAGAATTGCAAAAAAAAGGTCTCAGCTCCATGTATACATTTTTGGGATAGCAGGAAATTGTCTTAAAAAGTGACAATCAAGATGGGGGCCTCTAAAATGTACTCAAAAGTTAGGCGCGCCGACAGGCTGACAACGCTCATTGCCACGCCCCCTGCCACGTTCACCACCTAAGCCCCCTTTCGATAAAAAAACAACAACCCTGGAGGTGAACCTAGCCTGGTAATAAGGTACATAGCATAACAGTCTCAATCCCAACTGTCTCCCAGTCAGATTAAGCTAATCTCAGAGTACCTACTTCAGTCAGGGCAGGATGGTAAAACCCTCATTGCAATTCCTGAAATGTCTGCCCTGCAGCAGCAGCGATCCCAGAAACCAAACAAACATCCAACACAACCATTTCACAGCAGTCTTCCCTACAGGCCTCTGGAAAATATTTGTTTCTGTAATTATGACCCGTTACAACTTCTCTCTAGTTTCTATTAGTTCTGGCAGAGAACCATCAATCATGACGGTTGTTTTTCACAACGGTGCGTGCGCCTGGTAACCCAGCAGGTGAGTTAATTAGTACTATACAGAGTGTCCTATCCGTTTGTTGGTGAGTTAAAGCTACATTTTGCTGTTTGAAAAAAGTATTATAATACAGGGTCCCTGCTACTTGACAATTTAACAGATTCCCAGATCCCAGACTGTAGCATTAAAGGGGATGTTGAGAGCTGTATTAAAAGCGGTGAGAGGCGTGTAAAAGGGTGGCAGTGCAGTCTGCCACCGCAGGGCCTGCTCTGTTTGGAGCCCTGTACTGTTTATGACTCACGGGCTATTAATCGTATTGTTTACAGTGCTGTAGAAGATAGCGCCTTCCAGCCTTGCAGCCAGACAGAGCCAGAGCTGCTGAGAGGAACCAGTCCCCCCCGTCAAGGGCAGAAGCAGCGGTAAACACACACACGTAGACATACACAACACACTCACACAGTACGTACACACGCACATGCAAGCTTAACCCTCCATACACAATTTAAGGGTGTAATTTATTGACCAAGTAGCCTAAATTACACACTAAATGTAAAAGACGCAATAACGGACTCACAAAACCTGTTGCTTTATATGGAGACACGACCATTTCCATCTGCTTTCAATCTCTCTTCCTTTCTATTCATCCCTCTCTCCCTTTCCATCTCTCACACAAGCACATACAAAACGTGACGAGGTATGTGTGAGTAATGATAGAGGTGATATATAGTTTAGCTCTCACATTAGCAGGCGCCCCTGCTGGTAGAGTTAATTTGTCTCCGTGTTTGGGTCTCCACTCCACACATACTGCCAGATGCCAGACTCATCTGTCACCTCAACTCCTCCTGTGTCCCCTTTCATCCTCAACAACATTTACCCACACCTGGAAGACACTACCACACTCACACACACTGGCTGCCGCCATTACTGTCTGAACATATGGTTGAGGGGTAGCCTATTTAGTGGACATGGAGGGATTGTCAGATTTCTTTCTCTGATCCCAGATGATGCACAAGACGTGCAACTTGTATTATATGTACAATCAATACACAAACATCCTGTGGCAGGAAGTATTCTTCCATAACTGAACATAAATAGACTGAACAGAAGCTTGAGTCATGTACCACTGAACAATAATCATTTCAACTGAACACACACCACCCAACATATATTTAGAGGGAAAGGATTTTATTTCACAACCTATTTTCAAGGGTTTGGCATCGCCACTGACTGCCACTAAACTCTGTCTTTCTGACAACCACCTAGGGTGCTTTTCAGGAATACAACACTACTACTGCAGTCAGAACCTACTCCCAGTCCCAAGCACTCTATCAGGAATCAAATGCCACTGCACTTAAAGACTCCTAAAATAAATACTTCCACTTCAACCAAGGGAGACGTCTTTTTCAAGGGGTTTAAGACTTGGTAGAGTCCAGAAGGCCATCTTTCTCTCTCTCTGTAATATTGTGGAGGAGCTTGAGCGTGAAATAAAAGTAAATGGCTAGATTGAAGAGAGCGACATACATCTTGGTTTCTCTGAAGGCGAGGGGGACAGAGGTTGGGTGGAAAGCCAGGCAGCACGTCACAACAACACAGGCCCGGCAACAAATACTGACTCCAGCACTATTCACCTTCACTGTACAGTCCAACTCGCACTGTTACACACTGGTGACGGAGGGAATCAGGTCATAAAATGAACACCGCCAAATGCGGGTAGATTTAGATATTGGCGGGTAGGAATGTCCTTTCACCAGCCACGTAGGCTGGTGGTCAATTTACAGTGTGAGCATTACATTCACATTTGCAAATTAAAGTCAAAAGACAAGTATGAGCACGTGCTAGTTTCTGCCGTTTTGTTTCATAACTGCTAATCGCACAAAGAAATAAGAATCCTGTAGCCCACCTCACGCAGCAACAATGCCTGGCTGGGGAGCTATGCGCACTGAGTTAAGTGCTGACAATAGCGTGCAACTGCAGCCCGCAATTCGGGGCATTCCTGCATGTGGGCATTCCTGCATCTGACCCCCACCCACGAGTATCCCATTGGTTCCTTCCTGAACCACCCCAACTGGCTTGCTAGTTAGCACAAGGTGTCGCCCCCGCCTGCTGTGTACTAGCTAGTTTGACACCGCCTCCCTCCTGCTGTGTACCGGGCTGCAATTGCACCCTTCTCAATGCTGATATATTCATTTTTGGTGGCTCTGCTCACAGGCATAAAAGTTTGTCTAATTTACTCAAAAGTCTATAAAGTGAGACTTGGTCCTCGTGTTTCTTGGCTATTACATTGTTTTGTTCACAAGCTCAGTTGCTTTTCAATGTTAGTTTGAGTCTGCTGCTTCAATTGAAAGCGAAGAGTCGCCGTCTACTACTAGTCGGTGTGTCTCACACACACACACACACACACACGACTCAGTGGCCCCATTACCACGGTAACCTCCCGCTCTTAAAGGGGCAGCTGAACATTTTCTCATCTGATAAAATGTTGGTTAAAAGACACGGGTCACGAAAATTATGAAATTGCGCAATTTACCACAATACTCTTACTAATATATTTCTGGGTTTAGAAACATTACATAGCATGGTGGGCTGAAATAGCAGGTGCGCCAGAGTCCTCTGACCCCAATTCCCTCTGTCCCTGTGCCAATGGAATGTGTGTCAGCTAAGGGGAATGATTATGTCCCCTAGCCGGCCCTGACCAGACCACATACCACGAGCCAGACCTACAGCCCAGCCACAAGGGCAGCTGCTAGTGTGTGTGTGTGTGTGTGTGTGTGTGTGTGTGTGTGGCGGACACTCTACTCCAGTCCAGAGAGAACATGATGTCTATGTCCAAAACCCCAGGATTCTCAAGCTGATCGGTATATTGTAGTCTCTCTTAGCTACCTGCCTTAATGTGTGTCTCATGTATGAGAGACGAGAATAGCCCATCGCTACAGAGTGGAGCAGCAGCAACCAGGTGGAGCTAGAAATAAACGTGGCCAAGGACGAGGAGGCAGACTACTGATAGAGGCTGTAGGCTTGCCTAGTCTAGCAGTCAGAAACAAACACATAAACCTCAAAAGTAATATGGAGTTCAGTGTGGTCATAATCCATTTACTAGCAGTACCATTAAATTTGTTCATTTGCAATCAATGAGAGTAAAACAAGTTTGAAACACAACTTGGCAAGCCACAAACCCAACTGTATGGAGGCCAGGGCCTCCCATTCCATTCACTCGGTTTCCAGTGACGCCAAAGGCAGATTTCCACATTGAGTGACCCAAGTCTTTCCATCTTTTTCATCACCAGCCCTAGCTTGGCAGTTAGGGCCAGGTAAGTATCAGGGTCGTACCTGGGGTTCCCTCGGAGGGCAGCGTGGTGCAGGGCGTTGAAACCGTTGTTGTTGGTGATGGTGACATCTGCTCCCGCCTCCAGCAGCACAGACAGCATGTCGTCTCTCTTCTTACTGATGGCATCATGTAGGGGCGTGTCACCCTCCGAGTCCTGTAGGGGGCGAGATTATACCAACGTCACTATGACCACCTGCGCCACCCCCATTGTCACTAACAATAGGTATATACTGTTCATGTGAAGAAGTTTAGATTTCACCTAAACCCTTGAGTGCAGCGAGAGCCACCCAAATATTTGGTTAGAGATTGGATACATGACAGTGCTCCAAAGTAGGTATCTGCAAAATCTCCTAAATGTTTGTGCATTCACAGACGCGACAGCCAACCAGACTCCATGCTAAAAATCTGGGACAAATTGTGTAGAAATATCCAATGCCCTACAGAGCATTTATCATTTAAGGGTCAACCACAATTTATCACAGACCAAAAGAAAACAAGATGTACAATTTATGAGTGAATCAAAATCAATGCAAATGTACCTGCCACCACCGCACCAGCATGAAATTCCCTTCTGAGTACACGGTTTACAGCTGAAGACTCTAAAAACACCAGAGTCTGTCTACTCATGTATACATGTACTCACTCGTGTGTGTGTGTTCCGAGTGGTTACCTGGAGGCTGGGATGGCAGCCAAAGTCCAGCAGGGTCTTGACCACCTGCAGATGGCCCTTGTTGACAGCGATGTGCAGGGGGGTCTGTCTGCGCTTGTTCCTGGCGTTCAGGTCGGCCCCACCCCTCTGCAGCACTTCGATCACAGACCCCTCGTCTCCGAAGGACGCGTGGTGCACCGCCCGGTCTCCATCCTTGTCCTGGGAGGGATATTATATACAGACCGACACACTGACCAAATGTCTCCACTGTTTACATCATAGTGAACATCCAACTATGACTGACACGGACAGCTTTTTAGAGTATGACGTGAGACCTGTATAGGTAGACTGGGTACATAAAAATATATATCAGTATTGAGAGGGGACTATAGTATTGAGGAGGGACTGTTGGATGTACAAACCTCAGCCTCCAGGTCCACGTTGTGTTTCAGCAGCAGCTTGAGGACGTCCACGTGTCCGTTCTGACTGGCCGCCTGCATGGCTGTGTGTCCAGCACACTGACCATTCACCTACAAACACACAATATAGCACTGTTAGTGTGTTTTTGTATTTTTTGTTTATAATATAATATGCCATTTAGCAGACGCTTTTATCCAAAGCGACTTACAGTCATGCGTGCATACAGTTTTGTGTATGGGTGGTCCCGGGGATCGAACCCACTACCTTGGCGTTACAAGCGCCGTGCTCTACCAGCTGAGCTACAGAGGACCAGTGCACTGCCTTGTCACTGGCAAACAAAATACAAATGTGTGTGTATTTCATTGCCAAGTGCAGTACTGCAATACTTGGGGCATAAATATGAATGCAGGCTCCTTTGGGAGTCACAGAACGTGTCTTGTCCTGGCGGGCAGATGACTTGGCACAGCTCACCGAGCTTTAAGCAATAATTCCACTGAAAGGCACCGGGGCACCTGGCCAGCCCTCACCGCACTGACACACACACACAGCCGCTGAGACAATGCTGCAGAACGCTTCCAATGAAGGGGGGGGGGGGGGGGGGGGGCTAAGACGCTCTACTAAGCAGCTCTCTGAGGCAATAGGAAATAGGAGAGTGCAGACAGCTCTCCTTTGGGGCAGGTGATGTAAGGGTACATCACCACAAGGGACAGGAGTTTTTCCTGACTGTGGCCACCTGACCAGGAAAAACTCTGTGCCCCACTTATAGCTTGGTCCCAGAGTTTTCCTAGTGATGTGGAAAATTGACCCTAGACCATACATGGTGTATATTCACCATGTCGAGACAGTGAACGAAGCAAGCACTGCAGTGCACTCCAATGCCCTGGATGCTTGCATTGGGCTGAAGCATAATGTTTTTAACATGTGAGGTGTGCAGTAAATGGGTGTTACTGACTGCAGTAAATGGTGCTGTATAGAAGGCACATCTTTCTGAATGTTTAACTGTGCCCTGGAGAAATGTCTTTCTTAATAGCATTTTTTTGCAATCTCAATTTGCAATAAATATATCTTAGGGAAAAAACGGTTCCCTGGGACTAAACTAAACCCTGAAGCTGTGTTGAATGCAGGGATCACTTACGTCCACGTCAGGTCTCTTGAGGATGTCCTCCACCTTGGCCAGGTCGCCATTGGCTGCTGCTTTGACCAGCTCCTCATTGATGTCACCAGACTCCTGGGTCTCAAACAGCTTCTTCAGCAGCTGAGAAAGACGCTCTACACACACACACAGATGGAGAAAAACGTTACAAGTTCATCCTCTAGATCCAAGGAGTGAAGAATGTGTGTGGTGTGTACGAGTGGTCAGTGAATGTGCATGCCCACTTATAAACGGGCTAGAAGAAAAATATTTGTTTATGGTCTGTGTATCTCTGTGTGCACGAACACCCACTATGTGTAATTGTGTCTGTTCTGACTGTGTGTGTGTGTGTCCTGCCTACCTCCGGAGGCGTTGGAAACAGCGGAGCCAGCGGGGGCCACTTTGGTGACGGCAGCGGGGTTGTAGGTCCATGACGTTCCGCACACCTCCACCTTCAGGTCGCTGTCGGAGTAGATCTGCTGCACGCGGCCCACCTTGCCCAGGGTCTGAGGAAAACAATACATTCATTACATTGCTATAGCGTTTCATTACAATCTCAAAGAGCATAAACACATCATATTGTTAGAGATTCATTGTTAGTTTGTCTTTGAAGACAAACCAGTGCTGTGATGGAGCTTTCTCAGAAATAAGTACTAAAGATTATTGAAGGTAATTCTGGAAACACCTTTGAGCATTCTGGTGTCTAACACAGGGAGGGTAAATTATCTGCAATATAACAAAGGTATAGAAAACACAGGCAAAATCCCCCCACAGAAATGGAACACAACAGAAAGAGATGCCGTGTGTCTGTGCATCTAATTTCTACAAAACCATCCGTTCCTCTTTCAGGAAGAAAGACTCGGTCCTTCCTTTCCAAAAACATGACAGGAAAGCATAATCACAGATGAGACTAAAGCACTGTTCTGATTATTCATTCAAAGGGAAGGGCAGTTGAACGGCTGAGCGAGAGCAGGACTTATTTCTCATCTATACAGCCAATTATCTGGGACCTTATTGATGTCCGTCAAGGGACACACACCAGAAAATAGTTCCACTGAAACGCCGTACGAGTTGAGTAATGAAAGGCATTTGGTAGCTGTCTCACTGGTTATTTGATAAGACTAAGGCTACGTTCCAATATCCACAGTCTCCAGCATACTAGATAGAATGCATGCCCGACACACTGATTTTTTTCTACATAGTATGCTATTGTCAATATTGAAACAGACCAACACTACATTGCAATATACACTGACTGGCCAGTTTATTATACACCCCGTTCACGAAAATGGTTCGCGCCAACAGACAGTGAGTCCCGTGGCCATGGCATGCTATATATAGCAGGCAGACGGGCATCAAGGCATTTAGTTACAGTTCAATTCAACATTAGGAAGGGCAAAACAAAGTGACCTAAGCAACTTTGAGCGTTGTATGATCGTCGGTGCCAGACACGCCGGTTCCAGTATCTCAGAAACCGGCCGGCCTCCTGAGCTTTTCACAGTGTCTACGGTTTAGCAAGAATCGTGCAACAGACAAAAAACATCCAGTCAGCGGCAGTCTTGTGGGCAAAAACATCTTGTTGATGAGAGGTCGAAGGAGAATGGCAAGAATCGTGCAAGCTAATAAGCGACCCACAAAGAGTCAAATAACGGCGCAATACAACAGTGGTGTGGAGAACAGCATCTCAGAACGCACAACTCGTCGGTCCTTGTCACGGATGGGCTATTGCAGCTGACGACCACAGCGGGTTCCACTCCTATCAGCTAAAAACAAGAAAAAGCGATCACCAACACTGGACAACTGGAGTAGAAAAACAACTTGTTCTTTTAGGTTCTGGGCATTTGTTTTTCAGTCCCACAAAAAAACGCAACAAAGTTCCTAATGCAAAGCCCTCAATGTCACTCAGAAACGTATTCCAGTGTCAGCCTGCCAGCTGGAAATCATTGCCAGTGTGTGCGTGTGTAGGCCCTCCCCCCCTCGAAGTATAGGCTACTGTAGCCTACTGACGTTAAGCGTGATTCAGAAATTAGGGAGACAGATTTTTTTATTAGAAAATGGATTAACTCTTTGTTAGCTTGTTAGCTAGCTTTGGTCCAATGTTAAGCCAAATCTCGGATGTTCAAAGACATTCAAAGTTCCTCCATAGAAGCCACTTCTCCGTTGCTATAATTCTGTGGGCCTAATTCAGATAATGCTTGTCACATAACAAGATGTCCAGCGCTTCAAGCCAAGTCTCCTCTCCTCTCTCGCTCTCTCCCCACACGCACAATTTCAGTCGCCCTACACTTGTCTGTCCAATGCATGTAAACAACTATAGCTTGCTCACTCCATAGCAAGCTGCTCTATCCGCACTGATTGGTGAAGTCATTTAATGTTGAGCTAAATGTACAAAATTAATACAAATAAGACTTGAGGTTTCAAAAGGAACAATATAAGCCGGTACTTTTTTGGGTTCGAACTGGTTCAGAACTTTATTTTACAGAACAAAATAAATAATGGTTCTGTTTAGAACAAAACGATTGTGTGCGCAACCATAGGGCAAAACACACGGGGTTGGCTTAGATTGTTGACAACTTGTCAATTATATTTAATCTCCAATATTCATTGAAAACATAAAATTGCACAATGAGCACTAGTCTCTCAAATACATCGTTACAGTTGTTGGTTTGCTAGCAAGCAAATTCTTGCCATATTAGCATAGACGTGACAGTCAAAACAAGACATGGTATCAAGAACAAGATCAAACGAGCTACTTACGATTCCCCACATACTAGTTTCTTGTCATTGTTGCTAGCTATCTGCCCATCCAGAACCATAACACAGCCTTCTGCCCCTTTGAAGAAGGCGCATCGTTTTCGAACGTTGTCAGCTAACCCGTCTATAGGGGGCTGCAGCAGGCAGGCAGGCAGAGAGCAGCACCATCAGTGGGTAGTGATCAAAGTAAGTACCTATCACTGGGTTTTAAGGCTCGTTAGCTGCCGAGGGTGTTGGTTTTAGTGGAGTGTTGGACCATTGTAGTGCGATGTAACAGTTTGATGAGAGGAAGCAATGACTATCCATGATTATGCCAATTTACAGACTTTCAGCCTAAAATCACAACAGCCTAGTTTATGCCATAGTCATTACATAACGTTACACACCCATTGATACGGTCATTGTTACATGGGAGGTGAGAGGAATGAAAAATGCCTTTACGCTGATGAAGGAAACACTTCCTTTTGACCACTGATGCTGCAAGTTCTGGTTTTAAGTTTTTATTGCTTATTTGAAACCCTAGTCAGAAAAACACAAAATGTCAGTGTAAGCGTTTTAAAAGCGTGTTTGTCTCTTATAGGCACCATGGCATAGGCCCTCCAGTTGTGAGGTTTAAGGGGTGTGTGTGTGTGTGTCTGTCTTACAGGCAGCATTGCCTCGGCCCACTCCCCGTGTCCTCTCTGCAGCAGCTTAATGCGGTCGATGTCGTAGCAGATCTGGACCAGGTCTCCTACCAGGAACTGGGAGCTGCCGCCCTCCGCCCCTGCCGCAACACCTTCCCCACTACGCACAACGTTGGCCTTGGTCAGCACCGCAGGGTTGAACGTCCACCTGTAACACAGAAATGTTGCTAACACTGTATTTGAGATGGCCTCTATGACATGGAAATTACAGTGTCATAAATATCTTTCATTAAGCCAAATAGTCCGTGTCATACTCTTATGACACGGACGTTGCTGCTTGTGTTATGACTGGATTGACATGACACCCCTATGCTTGTGCACTAGTCTGAATCATGAACTGGTAGAGCTCACCTGTTCCCACTGGGGTACTGCACCACAATGTCGTGGTCCTCGTCGATTCCACACACGGTACCAGTGGTGGTGAGGGTCTCGAACATGCCGTCTGTCCAGCCTCCGTGGCCGTGCTGCAAGGACTGGACTATCTCCAGGTCCAGGTCGATGTTGACCAGGTCTCCAATCTGCAGACCGCCTGGGTTCCTGTTGCCATTCTGCTCACCTGTGGAGAGACGGCAGGGGGAATACATCCTGGTTACACAGTGAGGGGGGTACATTCCTTATGCTATGTAACCTTTATTTATCTAGGTTAGTGTCATTAAGATAAAATAGGGTGGACTAATCAGATACTGGAGAGCCTTATCTGATCACTTAATTTGGTTTCTGCAGTGCCGCATCGGGTGCCTAAACACAACCCAGGTAAATCTGAGAGAAGAGAATAATTTTCCCAGCCAAGGAGATGGGATTGTGGGAATGCTGTGCCAGTGTGACCTGTGACTGCACCCAGGCTGTCTCCATGCAGCCTGGTTCTGTCAATTTCTGTGTGGTGCTGCCACCTAGTGGACATTACCAGTAACAGCAGCCTTGCAGGGACGTGCTCCTGATGCCCTTGGACTCCACTGCAGAACACTGTGCTGGGGAGAAATTGGTGCAATAATGACGGTAGGTGTAGTGTAGTGCCACGGATTACTAATACTGTACTCACCTAGAACAGGGCAGTGGTCTCTGTAGAAAGAGCCTCCTTTGGCATCCTGGACACATTTCAAATCCGACTGAAAAGGAGAGGCGTGGGACAAAGTATTAGCTAATTATCTACTTGATTCAATCTATTAGAACTGCAGCAGAAAAATGCGACAGAGTAAAACCCCACTGCTTTACTACTGCAGTGACATTGTGTTAAAGTTACTGCAGGGTAAGGGTGGCAACAATAGCATTACCCTCATGGCTCTGAAGGATATGGCAACATTACATTACAAAGCTCTGGCTCTGGCTCGGCAGGGCAGGCACTGCATCATATCATTTGTGATGACTCAGATGTGGATGTGCATCCACTGTGACATAGTTAGAGGGCAGCCGTGCTGATTACACGGCAGTGCAGACATCCATCCTGCTCCTCTGACAGATGAAGGGACACATCAGGGTTCACGAACAGTGGCTCTGTCCCAAATGGCACCCTATTCCCTATTTGGTGCACTACTTTTGACCACTTTTAGTCCAAGGCAGTGCACTATAAGGGAATAAAGTGCCATTTGGGATACAAGCCATGTTTATAGATGTGTGAAATCAACAAACTTCACTCTTTTTGATGCCATTATGCACAAACAGCTAAGGAAAAGGAAAACACGTTGAGGAAAGGAAAAAGAGAGACATACATAGTATTTGCTAAATGTGTGAAGCCAAGAGACCAGACTGTGGCCTTTTAATGCTATTTGAACTAAACTACTTTGTAAAACGCAGTGTCTGACTTTGTCAACAGCGCTCATTTGCAGTCTTATTACCAATAACTTCAAAGCGTGTTACAAAAAGTGTTAAAAGTAACAAATTATAGAAACACCAACAGCAAGGTTAACCAATGACCAGGACATCAAGGGACATCGTATAACAGATTTTTTTTTTACCACAAAGGCTTTGGTTTTTCATTATTTTGGGGGGAGCAGCATATATAATCCATGCTTTAGTTCAGCCCTTCTTAAATTATGGATCGCGACCCAGTCAGAGTAAAAAAATGTAATAAACTTTTTATTTTTAGGAACTCAGTCTGAGTTTCAGCTTACTGTTGAGTTAGAATAGTAGAATACACAAGGTGCAATTTTGAAATGTGGTTGTGCATCATCACTTTTTCTCTTGTTATGTCAGTCACTGACAGTCACTCAATTAGCCATGTCAGCAAAACAAAACAAAATTGCTTGGTAAGTTAGTCTAGCCAGCGATCTAAACTTGTAATCTTGGCCGAACACCGACCGGGCATGCAGGGCACGTGCCCAGGGGCCTTAACCTCCAGGGGGCCCACATTTATTTTATTATTCAGTCTCATAAAGATATCATATTAACATGGCATAAGTCAAGGCAAAATGTGTAGAATTGCAGAAAACTTGCATCAAAACAGCAACATTTTCTCTATGCTCCATCGCATAATGGTAGAATTGCTGGAAATTAAATAAAACTTCAATTTCTCTCCACGGTCAAGGGGATGGGGGGGGGCACTAAATGTTTTGCCCGTGAGGTGAGGGGCCCCCCCCAACCAAATCTCGCTTAGGGCCCCCCAAAAGGGGGCATGGGTCCCAGGAAAACATATCATTTCTCATTTGGTTCACAGGCTGAAAAAGTTTAAGAACCTTGCTTTATTTAATCAGATGCCGTATACCTCAACCCCTCAAACCTACCAGACCTATTAGAATAACAAAGGACAAATCTGTTACGCAACCCTGCGCTCTGATTGGCCGCGTTCGTAAAAAAGCAGGAGTGTTCCGCACCAATCAGCACCCTGCCTGTCATTTGTGGCTCGTGTGGGACCCCTCCGCATTCTCCTCCCCTCCCACTGAAGCTGACCTTCATGTTCGCTCCCCTCATCATAAAGAAAGAAGGGAACAGATTGCCTTTCTTATGTAGATCCCCTCCCTCTTTCCAGCTGCCTGCCACAATGGGGCCTTGGCTGCTGGCTGGCTCTCCACCACAAAGGATTGGCAGCACAAGAAAGACCCCAGGCTCTGTGGTCAAACACAAAGACCACCTGACAGCTGATATTTTGTGAGTGGTGCTTTTCTCACCATCCCCTCGAAGCCCACTCTGTAGAGGTTCTTGGCCCCGTTGTCCCAGAGGACGTAGGCTGCACTGTGGGGGCTGGCTGCACTCCAGTCCTGGATCTCTGTCACCTGGGGAGGAAGAATGAGAGAGGGACATTTGAAAAGAGAAGAAGCTAGTGAAGGCATTCACATCTAAGAGTCATGCTAAAGGCATGCGTTTGGGTTTTAATACAATCTGTTGGATATAATGTCAAATGTATTCTGTGCATTTGGGCAAATCAACAAATAATGGCACAAATATATATAATAATATATATAATTTAATATGGAGCCTCAAACAACAAAAAGAGCCTAAAGAGTAGAAAGGATGGAGTATATACAGTGAGGGAAAAAAGTATTTGATCCCCTGCAGATTTTGTATGTTTGCCCACTGACAAAGAAATGATCAGTCTATAATTTTAATGGTAGGTTTATTTGAACAGTGAGAGACAGAATAACAACAAAAACATCCAGAAAAACACATGTCAAAAATGTTATAAATTGATTTGCATTTTAATGAGGGAAATAAGTATTTGACCCCCTCTCAATCAGAAAGATTTCTGGCTCCCAGGTGTCTTTTATACAGGTATCGAGCTGAGATTAGGAGCACACTCTTAAAGGGAGTGCTCCTAATCTCAGCTTGTTACCTGTATAAAAAGACACCTGTCCACAGAAGCAATCAATCAATCAGATTCCAAACTCTCTCTCACCATGGCCAAGACCAAAGAGCTCTCCAAGGATGTCAGGGACAAGATTGTAGACCTACACAAGGCTGGAATGGGCTACAAGACCATCGCCAAGCAGCTTGGTGAGAAGGTGACAACAGTTGGTGGGATTATTCACAAATGGAAGAAACACAAAATAACTGTCGATCTCCCTCGGCCTGGGGCTCCATGCAAGATCTCACCTTGTGGAGTTGCAATGATCATGAGAACGGTGAGGAATCAGCCCAGAACTACACGGAGAGGATCTTGTCAATGATCTCAAGGCAGCTGGGACCATAGTCCCAAGAAAACAATTGGTAACACACTACGCCGTGAAGGACTGAAATCCTGAGCGCCGCAAGGTCCCCTGCTCAAGAAAGCCCATATACAGGGCCGTCTGAAGGAGGAGGAATGCAAGATCTCTAGTGGCGCAGTGGTCTAAGGCACTGCATCGCAGTGCTAACTGTGCCACTAGAGATCCTGGTTCGAATCCAGGCTCTGTCGCAGCCGGCCGCGACCGGGAGACTCATGGGCGGGCACAATTGGCCCAGCGTCGTCCAGGGTAGGGGAGGGAATGGCCGGCAGGGATGTAGCTCAGTTGATAGAGCATGGCGTTGCAACGCCAGGTTGTGGGTTCGTTTCCCACGGGGGCCAGTAATAAAAAATAATAATAATAATTGTATTCACTATCTGTTTGCAATGATCATGAGAACGGTGAGGAATCAGCCCAGAACTACACGAGAGGATCTTGTCAATGATCTCAAGGCAGCTGGGACCATAGTCACCAAGAAAACAATTGGTAACACACTACACCGTGAAGGACTGAAATCCTGCAGCGCCTGCAAGGTCCCCCTACTCAAAAAAGCACATATACAGGGCCGTCTGAAGTTTGCCAATGAACATCTGAATGATTCAGAGGAGAACTGGGTGAAAGTGTTGTGGTCAGATGAGACCAAAATCGAGCTCTCTGGCATCAACTCAACTCGCCGTGTTTGGAGGAGGAGGAATGCTGCCTGTGACCCCAAGAACACCATCCCCACCGTCAAACATGGAGGTGGAAACATTATGCTTTGGGGGTGTTTTTCTGCTAAGGGGACAGGATAACTTCACCGCATCAAAGGGACGATGGACGGGGCCATGTACCGTCAAATCTTGGGTGAGAACCTCCTTCCCTCAGCCAGGGCATTGAAAATGGGTCGTGGATGGGTATTCCAGCATGACAATGACCCAAAACACACGGCCAAGGCAACAAAGGAGTGGCTCAATAAGAAGCACATTAAGGTCCTGGAGTGGCCTAGGAAGTCTCCAGACCTTAATCCCATAGAAAATCTGTGGAGGGAGCTGAAGGTTCGAGTTGCCAAACGTCAGCCTCGAAACCTTAATGACTTGGAGCAGATCTGCAAAGAGGAGTGGAACAAAATCCCTCCTAAGATGTGTGCAAACCTGGTGGCCAACTACAAGAAACGTCTGACCTCTGTGATTGCCAACAAGGGTTTTGCCACCAAGTACTAAGTCATGTTTTGCAGAGGGGTCAAATACTTATTTCCCTCATTTAAATGCAAATCAATTTATAACATTTTTGACATGCGTTTTTCAGGATTTTGTTGTTGTTATTCTGTCTCTCACTTTTCAAATAAACCTATCATTAAATTTATAGACTGATCATGTCTTTGTCAGTAGGCAAACGTACAAAATCAGCAGGGGAACAAATACTTTTTTCCCCTCACTGTATATACACACAGTGCATTCGGAAAGCATTCAGACCCCTTGACTTTTGCTATGAGACTCGAAATTGAGCTCAGGTGCATCCTGTTTCCATTGATCATCCTTGTGATGTTTCTACAACTTGTTTGGAGTCCACCTGTGGTAAATTAAATTGATTGGACATGGATTTGGAAAGGCACACACCTGTCTATATAAGGTCCCACAATTGACAGAGGTCGAAGGAATTGTCTGTAGAGCTCCGAAAAAATTGTGCATCATTGAAGGTCCAAGAACACAGTGGCCTCCATCAATCTTAAATGGAATCAGTTTGAACCAGCAAGACTCTTCCTAGAGCTGGTCGCCCGGCCAAACTGAGCAATCGGAGGAGAAGGGCCTTGGTCAGGGAAGTGACCAAGAACCTGATGGTCACTCTGACAGAGCTCCAGAGTTCCTCTTTGGAGATAGGACAACCATCTCTGCAGCACTCCACCAATCAGGCCTTTATGGTAGTGGCCAGACGGAAGACACTCCTTAGTAAAAGGTATATGACAGCCCGCTTAGTGTTTGCCAAAAGGCACCTAAAGGACTCTCAGACCATGAGAAACAAGATTCTCTGGTCTGATGAAACCAAGATTGAACTATTTGACCTGAATGCCAAGCGTCACATCTGAAGGAAACCTGGCACCATCCCTACGGTGAAGCATTGTGGTGGCAGCATCATGCTGTGGGGATGTTTTTCAGTGGCAGGGACTGGGAGACTAGTCAGGATCGAGGGAAAGATGAACGGAGCAAAGTACAGAGAGATCCTTATTGAAAACCTGCTCCAGAGCAATCAGGACCTCAGACTGGGGCGAAGTTTCACCTTCCAACAGGACAACGACCCTAAGCACACAGGCAAGACAACGCATGTGGCTTCGGGACAAGTCTCTGAATGTCCTTGAGAGGCCTAGCCAGAGCCCGGAATCTAACCCGATCGAACATCTCTGGAGAGACCTGAAAATAGCTGTGCAGAAATGGTCCCCATTCAACCTGACAGAGCTTGTGAAGATCTGCAGAGAAGAATGGGAGAAACTCCCCAAATACAGGTGTGCCAAGCTTGTAGCATCATACCCAAGAAGACTCTAGGCTATAATCGCTGCCAAAAGGTGCTTCAACTAAGTACTGAGTAAAGGGTCTGAATACTTATTTTATACATTTCCAAACCATCTACAAACCGGTTTTTGCTTTGTAATTATGGTGTGTAGATTGATGAGGGGAAAAAACGAAACATCTATTTTAGAATAAGGCTGTAACGTAACAAAATGTGGAAAAAGTCAAGGGGTCTGAATATTTTCCGAATGCACTGTATATAAGACAATATTTTTTAAAGTACAAGTATCAGCATATGGCAAGATTGGAGAAATATTACAGTAGAATAGTAAATAAATGATCCCTTTAATTAACAGTCTGACAGACTTCCCTGTATTTACATATATATTTAAAGATGAATTAGATTCTTATTCAGGCCCAAGTTCTATTTCTCCCTTTGTGGGGTAAATAATATTCACACTAAACTAACAGTATATCTGCTGCTAGGCTGGGGGACATGTAATAGTTAGATGTGTGGAGGCTGGAGCTGCCTGAGCATATTGATTACAGCATCATAAAACAATGAAATATCCCATTAAATAACACAGCAAAATGAACCCTTTAAAATTGCCTGTGGGGAATCTTACATTGAATACAACTGGGGGTCTAGACCGGAGCAGGGCCTGCGACAGAACTAATCAGTAGGACGGGCATTTGATTTCCATAGTTTTTTTCTCCAATGGACCTCCTATTTTTAAAATGGGTTTTATAGTTCAGACATGTAGCCTAATTTAATTGTAAAAATGAAACTTTGGTTATGGTGTTATACTTTGTCTTACATGTTATAGAGCAGCTTCTCAGGAATACAGAACATTATTTCAAGAGGATATGACTTACCATTGCTGAGATATCTTATTTTTAAGTAATTGGAAAAGGTAAAAAAAGGTTGCCTTGTCAAAAAGGCATTAAATCACCTGTCTGGATTCTTAATTTCGTTTTGTCCAATATCTTAAGATAGAGTGGTCATATTGTTATGACATTTTCAGGGCTGATGTAGAACACAGATATGATTCAAATGAAAGCACAATTTATGAAAATATGCAATATTATGCTAAGTAGGCACATAATATGCAACTTAGTCTGTACAGAATACATAATTACATTAACTTAAGCACAATAATTTAAGGTAGGGTGGTCATTATTAACAAATCTAACTTTATGCAAAACAGAGTTTGAAACAATTTATGAAATTAGAAAACAACTTTTTATACAACTTTATACAAATTAGATGCATAATATGCTAATTTGTCTGTACGGAATTAAACAATACAGCTTGTTAAACCCATTCATTTAAAGTCAGGTAGTCACATTGTTAACATATACTGTACTGACGTTTTATGCAGAACTGGAAGTCTACACTGAGGAGTAAGATGCCGTCCATGCGCTTGTGCGAGTGCACACACACACACACACACACACACACACACACAAACCCACTAGGGGTGGTAACAGAGTAAGTTACGTTGTATCACAGTTATGTTGTATTCAGTAGCCCAACTGATTAGGCCTAGAATGCCAAATAATACCCCCATCCCTGTGCCCCCTGCGCACACACACACCCTAACACATCTCACCAAGTCTGTACTGTAACACAGAAGGCTAATAACATAGCTTACTTCTAAGGTAGGCCTACACCTGAGTTGGGTTACATTGTAATGTTATTTTTGGTGTTGATGAGTGAACTGCACCATTTCAAGTAAATAATTAGCCTAGGCTCAGAAGAGAGTGTCAGTGGGCTGCCTGCTAGCCAGCTGCACAGCAAGATAGATGGAACACATTTTAAATTCACTGGTATTTAGCTACGTTTCTTTCGATTGTAGGGCTGTAGCCACATTACATTTACATTTACGTCATTTAGCAGACGCTCTTATCCACAGTTAGTGCATACATTATTCATTTTTGTATTTATTTTTTCATACTGGCCCCCCATGGGAATCGAACCCACAACCCTGGCGTTGCAAACGCCATGCTCTACCAACTGAGCTACCTCCCTGCTGGCCATTCCCTCCCCTACCCTGGACGACGCTGGGCCAATTGTGCGCCGCCCCATTGGTCTCCCGGTTGCGGCCGGCTACAGCAGAGCCTGGATTCGAACCAGGATCTCTAGTGGCACAGCTAGCACTGCAAAATTCGCCGCTGGTACAATACAGCCAATGCTGCACAGCGCTGCCTCGTCACAATTGCCTCAGCGAACGGCGTCAGGCACTAACCCACACAACTAGCACTATTCATGGATATCAGTGTGGCGGAACGTGAATTTGGACCAATCCCTGACAACCCATACACCAAAACCTCGCTACGAAGCTCTGCTTTGTAACCCGCTGTTTGTTTTGTCTCTCTGATGAAAAAATTCAATGACGGAGCCGAAATAAAAACGTTTCACTTTATATTTCTGTCCAAGGACGTCCAACAACCTTGAAACACCCTCAGGACTTTCCAATACTTCATAGCAATACAATGTCACATCGATCTTACTCTGGTAGGTTGAGGAATGAATACCTTCCACCAACAGCAAATATGAACACACCGATTTCGCGGGTTTCACAAAAAGGGCTGTCCCACAGAGTTTAATGTTCTTAGCACAGCACTTGCTTTACATTTGGGTTCATATCGCGTACATTTCATAATTTACACTTTTGGATTTATAGACATGGGTAACAACTGCCATATTCATGTTTTCAAACGATTTATTATATTTTGACAACCACAATACTGACATTTAGTATAAATTGATTTTGTAGAACTCTCGCATAGTGTCCATTGTTTGTCGTATCACCAAACACCCTACTTTTAACATGGCATAAACACAACCAGTCATGTTTTCATCTGATTTTCAAACAAATCACTTCAAAAAGTATGTTACCTTAGCACGTTCGTCCAAAATAATTATAGTATCCAAACAATGCACTGTGCACCCGCCAACTTTCCTTCAATTCGCACGTGGCTGAAGCTATCTCACCAGAGCAGGGCCTAGAATTAACACCCGCCACCTGCAAATGTGGGTAGATTTTCGCATTGGCGAGTAAAATGTATTTCATCATCCACGTTGCCGGGTGGTCAAGGCTCCACAGTGCGAGCATTTCACTCGCATTTGTGAGTAAAAATAGTCAAGTATGATCACAAATATTGTAAAATAAATGCTGCAGTAGCTGTTTTCAAAGTATCTCCGCCGATTTGTTTCATAGCTCCTGGCGCAGTGGTCTAAGGCACTGCATCGCAGTGCTAACTGTGCCACTAGAGATCCTGGTTCAAATCCAGGCTCTGTCGCAGCCGGCCAATACCGGGAGACTCATGGGCGGCGCACAATTGGCCCAGCGTCGTCCAGGGTAGGGGAGGGAATGGCCGGCAGGGATGTAGCTCAGTTGATAGAGCATGGCGTTTGCAACGCCAGGGTTGTGGGTTCGATTCCCACGGGGGGGCAGTATAAAAAAATATGTATTCACTAACTGTAAGTCGCTCTGGATAAGAGCGTCTGCTAAATGACTAAAATGTAAATGTAAATAGCTGCTGGTCAATGAAATCGCACAAAGTCAAAGAACTACGAATCCTATATAGCCTATTCCACCTCGTGCTGCAACACTGCCTGGCTGGGGGCTGTGCGTATGTGAAGAGCTGAGTGAAAGATTCATTTTTAGAAGAGCTGTGCACAGGCACAAAAGTTGGTCTAATCTACTTGAAACCAAAGTCTACTGAAGTGAGACTTTGTCCTTGTGTTTCTTGGTTATTTACATTGTTTTGTTCACAAGCTAGGTTGTTATTCTATGTTTCAGTTTCAACTGCTAGGGAAAAGACAACGCTTCTACTAGTCAGGCACAAACATGACCGAGTCACACTACCACGGTAACCTCCCGCCCTTAAAGGGGCAGGTGAAATGTTGGTTAAAAGACTACGGTCACAAAAAAATGTAATTATTCAATATACCACATTAGTTACTTCTTACTAGCAATACACGTCTTGTTTTAGAAATATTACAAAGCATGCTCATCAGTTTTTCTGTGCTTTGTTGGTGTAATTTTAGCGGCCCAAAAATATTTTGGTTGGTTAAAAAAAAAAATTTGGAGTGGCTGGTAGATTTTTTTATCTACCTGCCACAGCGGCTGGTGGACCAAAAAGTAAATGTTATGCCCTGCACCGGAGAAAGCATCTGAGCAAGTGAAACAGCCCCCCTCTGTCTTACTATATGTAGCCCATGTATCTGATTTTGTCTGGCTAAAAAGATTATGACATGCCATACATTGGCTACACATACTGAGACAGAGGGGCGCTGTTTTGCTCACTTGGATGCTTTATCTGAGATTGATGAGTCTTTCTGTCTGTGCACGTCTTGGTCAAATAAATGATCAATATTTAAATATTTTATTTGGACAGGTAAGTAGGTACGGCAGCCCCTTAAAGCCCGCCCATAACGCCGGCCCTGGACCGGAGTCAAACTTCTAGAGCGCTACGGAGCTGTTCCCTTTATAAATCTACATGGTGAATGTTAAAGCTGGAATGGCGAAACTGCCACGGTCGTTTGGAATATTACAACAAATTTTTAGCAAACGACGAACACTTTGCACGAGCGATAGAACAGCATCATATGTACTGCAATTGTTTTTGCCACGATGCACGATAGCTCTGCTCCATCAACAAAACAAATGCAAGAACAGCCGTGGGGCGGACAGTGGTGCTGTTTCCCCTACTGCAGAATCCCTTTTTAAACAAATGCAACCTCGAAGTGAATTCTGTAGTGAGGAAGTCTGTGGTGAGGAAGTATGCATGTCTGTTCACAATTACACTAATGTAGGGGACTGACTGCGATGGAACCAAGAGAGCAGACCAAAGGAACTAGGCTGGTCCCCACATTCTTCACACTTCCTCCTCATCACCTTCTGGGACCAATCAGATCCTCATTCTCATCACTCCCATACATTTTATAGTAATACGTTTTATATTTGATGAGAAGCCTGGGTCATGTTCAGTGGGCAGAAAGTGAAGAAAAAATGGAAACGGGGAGGTAGGCTGCAACCTGAACTTGCGGTCCAATAGGAACACAGATTTCAATCTTCATTTGCAGAACATTTTCCTACAGCTTGGCCTACTGAACAAGGTACAGGTTCAAACAGGCACACCATAGCAAAACATTTTTTCATGTTAAATGTTTTGCAACAGAACGAGTACCTTTCCTCTCCTGCCGTTGCCTCCATCCTGGTCCTCCCACTGCCAGTCCACTCCCCTCACCACCCGGCCACCTGTGTAGATGCCTCGGGCTGTGATCTTCTTCGACTTGCGGCGAGACTCCAACAGGACTCTGTCAAAATAAACAAGAAAATGTACGTTTATTTTACTCTGAGTGGGTGGGTGAATAGTAGTTGTCATTTGATGGGTGTGAAAGTTAGCAATATTCAACCAATATAGGTTAAAGCTGGACATGTATTTATGGTGGCAGTTGATATATTAGTCCATCTATGATTTAGGTCTACAGTGCCTTGCAAAAGTATTCATCCCCCTTGGCGTTTTTCCTATTTTGTTGAATTACAACCTGTAATTTAAATTGATTTTTATTTGGATTTCATGTAATGGACATACACAAAATAGTCCAAATTGGTGAAGTGAAATTTAAAAAATAACGTGCTAATTTTTTCTTTCTTTTTTTCGTGCGTGCATTTGTATTCACCCCCTTTGCTATGAAGCACCTAAATAAGATCTGGTGCAACCAATTACCTTCAGAAGTCACACAACTGGTTAAATAAAGTCTACTTGTGTGCAATCTAAGTGTCACATGATCTCAGTATATACACACACACCTGTTCTGAAAGGCCCCAGAGTCTGCAACACCACTAAGCAAGGGGCACCACCAAGCAAGCGGCACCATGAAGACCGAGGAGCTCTCCAAACAGGTCAGGGACAAAGTTGTGGAGAAGTACAGATCAGGGTTGGGTTATAAAAAAAATATCCGAAACTTTGAACATCCCACGGAGCACCATTAAATCCATTATTAAAAATGGAAAGAATATGGCACAACAACAAACCTGCCAAGAGAGGGCCGCCCACCAAAACTCACAGACCAGGCAAGGAGTGCATTAATCAGAGAGGCAACAGATACCAATGATAACCCTGAAGGAGCTGCAAAGCTCCACAGCGGAGATTGGAGTATCTGTCCATAGGACCACTTTAAGCCGTACACTCCACAGAGCTGGACTTTACGGAAGAGTGACCAGAAAAAAGCCAATGCTTAAAGGAAAAAAATAAGCAAACACATTTGGTGTTCTCCAAAAGCCATGTGGGAGACTCCCCAAACATATGGAAGAAGGTATTCTGGTCAGATGACACTGGAATTGAGCTTTTTGGCCATCAAGGAAAATGCTATGTTTGGCGCAAACCCAACACCTCTCATCACCCCGAGAACACCATCCCCACAGTGAAGCATGGTGGTGGCAGCATCATGCTGTGGGGATGTTTTTCATAGGCAGGGACTGGGAAACTGGTCAGAATTGAAGGAATGATGGATGGCGTTAAATACAGGGAAATTCTTGAGGGAAACCTGTTTCAGTCTTCCAGAGATTTGAGACTGGGACGGAGGTTCACCTTCCAGCAGGACAATGACCCTAAGCATACTGCTAAAGCAACACTTGAGTGGTTTAAGGGGAAACATTTAAATGTCTTGGAATGGCCTAGTCAAAGCCCAGACCTCAATCCAATTGAGAATCTGTGGTATGACTTAAAGATTGCTGTACACCAGCGGAACCCATCCAACTTGAAAGAGCTAGAGCAGTTTTGCCTTGAAGAATGGGCAAATATCCCAGTGGCTAGATGTGCCAAGCTTATAGAGACATACCCCAAGAGACTTGCAGCTGTAATTGCTGCAAAAGGTGGCTCTAAAAAGTATTGACTTTGGGGGGGGGTGAATAGTTATGCACGCTCAAGTTCTGTTTTTTGTCTTATTTCTTGTTTGTTTCACAAGAAAAAATATTTTGCATCTTCAAAGTGGTAGGCATGTAAATCAAATGATACAAACCCCCCAAAAATCCATTTTAATTCCAGGTTGTGTAAGGCAACAAAATAGGAAAAATGCCAAGGGGGGTGAATACTTTCGCAAGCCACTGTACTAGCTATATCAGTTTTTAAAATGTTCATTCACTGTTATTAGCCCAAAACTAATTTGGTTGATATGCCATTTTAGACCTTTTCAAGAACTGAGCATCTTTGGTCGCCAACGTTAGATCGGTAGAATATTTCAAGATGTCTGTCAACAACAAATCAAGACTCCTCAACTCCATCTCTTTTGATGCAGACTTAGATCTACTAACTAATTTGAGAGGAGACTAAGCGAGCATGTTTAACTGCTCAATGTACTAAAAATGTTCCCAGTTTTGATTATGGGGACGAAAAGCCATGCTTAGCTAGCCATGAAAACAGACTGAAGCATTACAAAAACAGTGAGCAGTGCAGCTGGCTTGCCAGATGGCCCCGTCTGATCATCATAGCAACACTACCAACATAGCTAGGCTATACACTTCATTTTACACCATGACAGTCCTTTAACTCTACAGCCCATCAATGGAGTAGGATACCCTAAAGTAGCCTAATCCATAGTGTCTACAGACATGTTCAAAAAGATTGAGGGCATCTGGTTCAGAAAATTGCACAATTACTTGTGTCAAACCTCTATTTGGGCATCAGCAGATAATCACATTTCCAGAAACCTTGTCTTGTCGTCTTTGACCTGGATATTCCAGCACTTCAAAATAATAAAAAGGATTTGGCTTGTTTGATTTACTAGTTGCTGGCATGCATCTTTCAGACTCTGGGTCATTCTGGGTTAACCCTTGCACACTTTGTCTATTGAGAGTAAACCAAAAGAATGAACAGCCTATAACACATATATATGGAAAAGTATAAAATGCATCATGAAATTGTCTGCTCCATAGAATTGTTATTACTTGACCGATGAGGCATGCATCCAGACTCCTTTAAAGTGGAACTGACTGCATTTTAACTACTTTGCAGATATGAAACAGACAATCATAATCAGTAAAAAATATCAAATTCCCAGTTTATGCTTCAAAACCAACTTCATAAGAGGTTTTAAAAATAGGTTATATTTGACTCAAAATTCCATGACGTACAGTAAAGCATTGTTGGCAGAATAGATGGATGCAGTTCAATGCATAATTCACCAATGCATTTCTTGGTAGCTATCAAGTTGTAAATCACAGCTGGCCTGGTACATTGTTTGCTGCCTCCACCCATTCGGGATGCACCGTTTCAGTTTCAAATACTCAATATTTGGACCAAAAAAAAACAGACAACTGTAACTAAGGCTGGGAATGTCAATACAATCAAACTAGGAAGGGCAATGATGACAAGTCAGTCATAAAGTGGCAAATAGGCTAGCGCACGTGTCAAACAAGGCCTGCGGGTCGAATAGGACACACAAGCAAGTATAAATGAGTCAACAGTTGAGTCATCTACTTTATGAAATTACAGCCTGATGCATCAGTGAATTCAACTTCAATTGCGCTGCTTTCGTGTGTCCCGTTTACAGCGTGCAGCGGAGGGAAAGTGTACAGACACATGCCACAGTCCTAGCTAGGCTACTAAAATGTGACAGTCTGGCTTCGGTTTTTAAAGCTTGACAATGAATAACCAAAAAACAGAACCTTCAACACCATGCAAAGGAGAAACATGTAGGCCTATTACAGCAACATTTGAGCAGTAGCCGGCTACTCAACTACAAGACATTTTGAGTGCACCATACAGCAATGCTGCACTCAACCGCACCAGTGATCCATGCAGTGCAAAAAAATGAAAAACATGTTTTAAGGTTAAATGTTACAACAACCTATAGCTACGTTTTTGTTCTTTGGAGTTATTAAATACTTTTGATTATGGTCGCTGCATATTATGCACATCTGCAAGCATTGCAGCAAAGGCTGGACAAATATGATGTATCCCTTTTGTTTTAATATGTTAAAATGCTATATACAGCATCCTATGTACATAAGTGGACATTATAAAGTAGCACGTTTTTTTTAAAACCAAATAGGCTATCTCTGGCCTGCGAATGTTGTGTTTTTTCAATATGGCCCGTGCGCTGATTGAGTTTGATAACACTGATCGTATTTATGTAGCTTGCTATTTATTTAGCAACGCAAAAACACGGAGCCTAACGTTAGCTAGCTAGCTGCTGGGAGGATGTCATGTAATTGGAGGAGTGGTTGAGTGACCAACTTTTTCTCCTCATATCGTTTTTCGGTGGCTACAGCTAGAGATGCAGGTGTCATTTGGTTAGCTAGCAAGAAATGTGAATCACTTTGCTAGCTAGCTATGCTGAACTTGAACGACTTATCAACAGTTAGCATCTCTTAGTTGTCAATCAAATGTATTTGGCATCGATCAAATGGGCGGGCAGGGAAGTTCCCATTCAGTTGTCAAAATGTGGGTTTGGACAAGCATGCATTGGCAATCAAGCGGCAGAAGGATGAGCAGGCTACTATTCCCCATCGTTTATCAGTGCAACTTTGACGGCCAACTAGCTGAAAAGGTTTGAGAGGGTTTAACAAACGTTCCCTTGTTAGATTTTAGCTCATCTCGCTCTGGCTAGCATTAGTTGTTGATCTTGTGAGAGAGAGCCTACCTTTTCATGGTTGTTTGATCAATAGGACTGAAGTTCCCAAACATAAGAGGACTCTGTGGTATTTACATATGGGCAGAAATCCATTCAGGTGTATTTTGGCTAATGCATTCTAATGATGTGAAGTCGCGCTATTGCTACTGCCTGTAAACACACAGTCCAGTTCAAAGTGAATGATGGCAGGCCAGTGTGGCAAATGACTTATTTGAATATAGGCCTACTGTAGCCCTGATTGGCTATGACACACCGGTCTGCGTAGACTCGTTCCTGGACAAGACAAACTTTTTTATTAGGTTTTATTTACGGCAGTGTCTATTAATTATCCAAACGCACGCCTGCTTTCCCACTCTATATTGCTATAGAATTTTTACAAATGCCTTACTATGTCACTCCCAAACGTTGTATGAATTTATGAAAACGACCATATCTAAGTGCTCCCTTTTTTATTAATGTTCATGTTCCTAAAACGCTGTCAGTTCAACTTGAAATGGTAATTGGTCAAGAGAGAAGCCACAGACTCATAGCCACAAACTCCCGACAGTCAGTGAAAGAATCTAATGCGGCATAACAAAATAAAGTCCATCATGCTTTCAGTTCAGAGCAGTGTCTGTGGGGGGATGGGGACCATTAACGGTCTCAGGGGAACTGAAGTCACACATCGTTGAAAGGGTGCCAGCGGTTGCGCCATGCGTTTGGTTTGTCCCTTTGGATCTAACAAAGGGCTTGAAGCAGTTGGAGGGACTGCTATAGCAAGAAAATATCTCCACTGTATGTAATGACGCAATAACTGTCCTGGTTGCACTCTCTGCACGTTATGTTTCATACAGTTATGTTTCAGTCAGTTAATTTTGAAAACCACAGAAATAAACTAATTCCTGTTTTCATAAACGAACTTTTCAGCTCCTTTTATTATTTCAGACTTTTACATTCCTGTCCTATCATAACCATTGAGGTAAAATGTTAATATCTTCGGCTGTGAGTGATGGAAAACAAATTGGCCTCCACGACAATTTTTTGAATAATACAATGGATGTTTTGTGCACAAAGATGATGACTAAAGTGTTTTATTAGGAATTTTCAAATCTGACTACTCTATGTGGCCGTCTATGGAAATAGTATTTCTGGGCCGGGCATCAGTTAAACTGCGGTACCGAAGCAGAACTATTGGAGCAGTCGAAACCGTGTTTCTAGACCGGAATCATGGCCCCTTGAACATAACATTCTCCAGACAGGATTGTTGTTATGATTTGACAGGATTGTTGTTATGATTTGACAGGACTGTTGTTATGATTTGACATTTTATGCAATTGTGCTTTGTCTTTTATCTGTAAATCTTCCATGGAAGCAGATAAGACAGACGCATGGCCAGTAACATGGGATTGGCTGAGGCCCCAACAACATCGCTGCTTCTGAAATAGAGTCTGAGCAGTCGCCTGGCAACAGAGAGCCATGATCGGTGGCCACATGTTGAGTCTGCCTACAAGGCTGGGCTCAGGCACCACTTCTCAAATGTCAGACAGAGACAGCCAGGGAGAAACAGAAAGCCGCAAAACAGAGAGAAAATGGGTGGGTCGCTCAATATAACCAACCATATAACCAACCAAAGGATGTAGATTAGAATTGTTATCATTTAACGCATCACTAAACAATAGAGTTTGTCATAGAGGTGGGGCTGAGTTGACAAAGCATCCCTACATATTTGTATAGTTCCAGGTTGTCTTTATTGCGGTCACACTGTGCAGATAATCAGATCTCACAATGAGTAACGTGACTGCATTGAAGATTACCTGGAACGCAATCATTGGCTTCACAGGGCAGCTGACGGTACTCACCTCTCGCTACCAGGGGTGGTGATCCTGTAGAAGCGGTGTCGCAGGTGGTGCTTGTCTCCATGGTAACAGGTGGTACAGAGGTCATAGTTGGTGCACTCGGCACACTTCCAGCGGATACCGATAATAGGCTGCTGACGGCAGGTGTCACACATGGTACCGTCATGCTTGATACCTGAGATGGAGAAGTAACAAGGCAGTTAGGAAACTTTACTTGGCTCATCGCTCTCTAGCAACTCCTTGTGGCGGGCTGGGCGCCTGCAGGCTGACTTCAGTTGCCAGTTGAAGTGTTTCCGCCAACACATTGGTGCAGCTGGCTTCCGGGTTAAGCGAGCAGGTGTTAAGAAGCGCGGCTTGGCGGGTCATGTTTCGGAGCCCGTTGGGGAGTTGCAGCGATGAGACAAGATCGTAGTCACAAAATCGGGGAGAAAAAAAGGTGGCCAGTAACCGAACGGTCGATTGTTCAAATCCCAGAGACGACGATGAGCATTTACGCCTGTAAATCGCTCTGGATAAGAGCATCTGCTAAATGACTAAAATGTAAATGTTTTAGGTGTCAAGTGTGAAGCAATGATGCCTCTGCCTGCTGCTCTGTGGCCTCTTGACTTGCCATCTTCACCAACACAAAATAAAAGTGAGCATACAGTACACTAGGTCTAAACTCAGGGGGAAAAGTTATTCACACAGCTTGCTTTGATGATGATATCTTAAGTAGTCATCCTCACGTCTAACCTCACGTCTAACTCAATCAAACTCAACGTGCTCCAAGTAGCACACTTGATGCAATGCAATAACGTGTAACGTGGCGGTATGACAAACAACCTTGTACACATCAACACCCAAATGCGTAGGCTAATTGAAACAAATGATGAACAAAAACAGGACATACGATATGTTTAGCGATCACAGCACCAGTAGGGAAACATTACCTGTGGGAGCACTGTCAAATATCCTCACGTCGTATGCACCAGAGCACCGGTAGTTGGCCGCAGTCCCGTTATCCCAGACAACAACCACTTCTTCCGGACTTTCGAAACTCCTGACAGTGCCGACATGTCCCTCTCCACCATCCTGTTTTCCCCATTTCCAATCGGGTCCACGGATCACTCTCGCACCAACTCCTTCCATCATCACACGGTTATTCCTGCCAGTAGTCATTTACGAAAAGGTCTCGCAAATAACGTAACACAAAAAATATATAGCCAACTAGCAGAATATGCTAACTAGCTAACTACCTGTGTTTAGCAGGATAATTTTGAAAAGCAAAACCGTTCTGTTGTGCAGAAAAACACAAGTTAGCAATATATTGTTAGCTTGTAAGTAACGCTAGAACACTAACGTTACCCGTTACGTTACCTAGGCTAGCCTGCTTGCTGTAAAGTTCCAAAACAAGATAGCAGACACAAGCCAACAGTTAGTTGCAAAGGCAAATATACATTGCTAGTCAAATGTATCGTAGTGTGAACGTAACAAACGTTTAGCTAACTTGCTCGATAAAACAACAACACGATGTAGTGGAATTCAAAGCCAAGCTAACTCACTAACGTTAACTGTTAGCTAACTAGCTTAGCCAGTTAGCAACTGGCTAACGTTAGCTGCCAAAGTAAGCTGTTGAATGGCACGCACTTTCCACTCCACAGCTGTTCGTCTGCAATGTTACGGAAATAACTGGTATGTTTCAGTATCCCCTTTCATGTGCTTTTCGTCCCAAGAGCACAATAAATTGTCACCCAAGAGCGTGTAAAGTAGCCACATCGTCACGAAATGGTAGACCGTTGTTAGCTAGCTAGCTATTTAGTTAGCTAGCTAGCTTGTGCCTCTGCAAGAATGCCACCTCCACAACTCAACGTTAAACAGCTAGCGTAGATGTGTCCTTTTTGTTGGGATAATTGTTTCATTCGTAAATACGTTTATCCTATGTATTGGATTTCTGTCTGAAATGTATTTATTTTTGTCAAATGGCTTGCAGAAGTAAATTCACTATAAACGCGTCGCCATTATTGTCAATCATCGAGCAGATGGAGGTTGACCACAAATATAACAATGAGACAGATATTTCATTGGATGTATAAATGTGAAGCATCCTCTTGGCGTTTCCACTCACTACCAAATATGGTAGTGAGAGGAAGCCCATTGGCGGGCAGTGGGAGAAGATGGAACGAGATGGCTTTTGGCCGACACATTTTCTCAATACAGTTTTCTGTTCCCAAAACTAGAATCATGAACAGAGTAGACTAAGTTCTGTAGACTTTGCCCTTTGTAAAAGTCAACAAAAAAAATCGCTGTTAAGCAGGTGCACAAAGGCGAATTTAGTTATTGCACACGCGAACTTCACAGAGTAGGCGTTCCCTAACGTAAATATGCAGATAACGCTAGAACACGCCAATAGGATCTCGCTTGGCTTGCCTACCTCCTTGCTTGTTCTGCCCACTATGACTCATTTGTTCCCATTGGAAAGGACAGGCTGTGGTATATCTTGGTTTAGTTATAAAAATCTTCGGTTTGACGACGAAGATGTTTGGTTTGGAAAACGAGGGTTTTACCGCTTTCAAACGGTAGTAGGAACAAGGAAACTCGGACATTTCCGACTTACTGATTCGCTGAACGCGGCACGTGTATAACTACAACAATTCCATGTCGGAAATGTCTGAGTTTCCTTGTTCCAACCAGCACATGAACGCGACAATGGGCTAGCTCGTGGCGTAATTTGACAAAACACTAGGTGGGGCTAAAGAAAATGTTGAAAATGCAACATGCAAAAGTTCTCAAAATGCAAAACGAGGGGTTTTATTACTTATTTTATTGAACGCATGCCTCCAATTTCTTCCTAAATGCACTTCCTCTGTTTTAGCCTAATGTTTTTCCACTCTTTGTAGGACTATGCGTGGGCTTATGATATACAGTGGCCAGTATATTAGGTACACCACCATGTTCACGAAAATGGTTTGCTCCTACAGACAGTGAGTCACGTGGCCGTGCCTTGCTATTTAAATCAGGCAGACGGGCATTGAGGCATTCAGTTACTGTTCGATTGAACATTAGAATGGGCAAAATGAGTGGCCAAAGCGACTTTGAGCATGGTATCATCATAGGTGCCAGGCACGCTAGTTCCAGTATCTCACGCATGACAGTGTCTAGGGTTTACAGAGAATGGTGCTACAAAAAAAAAAACTTCCAGTGAGCGGCAGTCCTGTGGGTGAAAACATCTCCACAGCATGATGCTGCCACCACCATGGTTCACCGTAGGGATGGTACCAGGTTTCCTCCAGACGTGACACTTGGCATTCAGGCCAACGAGTTCAATCTTGGTTTCATCAGACAAGAGAATACCTCTGCTGCAGAGGATAAGTTCATTAGAGTTACTAGCCTCAGAAATTGCACCCAAATAAATGCTTCACAGAGTTCAAGTAACAGACACATCTCAACATCAACTGTTCAGAAGGGACTGTGTGAATCAGGCCTTCATGGTCGAATTGTTACAAAGAAAGCACTACTAAAGGACACCAATAAGAAGAAGAAACCTGCTTGGGACAAGAAACACGAGCAATTGACATTAGACCGGTGGAAATGTGTCCTTTGGACTGGAGTCCAAATTGGAGATTTTTGGTTCCAACCGCCGTGTCTTTGTGAGACGCTGTGTGGTTGAACGGATGATCTCCGCATGTGTAGTTCCATCCATAAAGCATGGAGGAGGAGGTGTTATGGTGACACTTTGCTGGTGACACTGTCTGTGATTTATTTAGAATTGAAGGCACACTTAACCAGCATGGCTACCACAGAAATCTGCAGCGATACGCCATCCCATCTGGTTTGGGCTTAGTGGGACTATAATTTGTTTTTCAACAGGACAATGGCCCAACACACCTCCAGGCTGTGTAAGGGCTATTTTACCTAGAAGGAGACTGATGAAGTGCCACAATCCCCTGACCTCAACCCAATTGAGATGGTTTGGGATGAGTCGGACGGCAGAGTGAAGGAAAAGCAGTATATGTGGGAACTCCTTCAACACTGCTGGAAAAGCATTCCAGGTGAAGCTGGTTGAGAGAATGCCAAGAGGGTTGCTATTTGAAGAATCTCAAATAAATCATATATTTTGATTTGTTTAACACTTTCTTGGTTACTATATGATTCCGTATGTGTTATTTCATAGTTTTGATGTCTTCACTATTATTCTACAATGTAGAAAATAGTAAAAAATAAAGAAAAATCCTTGAATGAGTAGGTGTGTCCAAACTTTTGACTGGTACTGTATATGAAGTGGAAGCATGTGCATGGTTGCAACCTGGTGTCAGAGCATTTTGTATTTTTCTGTACGTAAACCAAGTCACTCCATTAAGTATGATATGTTACGTTTGGTATAGTCATCTCATTCCAAAATCATGGGCATTAATATGGAGTTGGTCCCCCGTTTGCTGCTATAACAGCCTCGACTCTTCTGGGAAGGCTTTCCACTAGATGTTGGAACGTTGCTGTGGGGATTTGCTTCCAGTCAGCTACAAGAGCATTAGTGAGGTCGGGCACTGATGTTTGGCGATTTGGCCTGGCTTGCAGTCAGCATTCCAATTCATCCCAAAGGTGTTCGATGGGGTTGAGGTCAGGGCTCTGTGCAGGCCAGTCAAGTTCTTCCACACCGATCTCGACAAACCATTTCTGTATGGACCTCACTTTGTGCACGGGGGCATTGTCATGCTGAAATAGGAAAGGGCCTTCCCCAAACTGTTGCCACAAAGTTGGAAGCACAGAATCGTCTAGAATGCCACTGTAGCGTTAAAGATTTCCCTTCAGTGGAACTAAGGGGCCTAGCCTGAACCATGAAAAACAGCCCGAGACCATTATTCCTTTACAGTTGGCACTATGCATTGGGGCAGGTAGCAATCTCCTGGCATCCACCAAACCCAGATTAATCTGTTGGATTGCCAGATGATAAAGCGTGATTCATCATTCCAGAGCACGCGTTTCCACTACTCCAGAGTCCAAAGGTGGCGAGCTTTACACCACTCCAGCCGACGCTTGGCATTGCGAATGGTGATCTTAGTCTTGTGTGTGGTTGCTCGGCCATGGAAACCCATTTCATGAAGCTCCTGACGAACAGTTCTTGTGCTGAAGTTGCTTCCAGAGGCAGTTTGGAAATCGGTAGTGAGTGTTGCAACCGAGGACAGACGATTTTTACGCACTACGCGCTTCAGCACTCGGCGGTCCCGTTCTGTGAGCTTGTGTGGCCTACCACTTCGTGCTGAGCTGTTGTTGCTCCTAGACGTTTCCACTTCACAATAACAGTACTTACAGTTGACCGGGGCAGCTCTAGCAGTGCAGAAATCTGACGAACTGACTTGTTTGAAAGGTGGCGTCCTATGACCGTGCCACGTTGAAAGTCACTGAGCTCTTCAGTAAGGCCATTCTACTGCCAATGTTTGTCTATCGAGATTGCATGGCTGTGTGTTTGATTTTACAGTGGTTTCAAGTACTTAAGTAAAAATACTTAAAAGTACTACTGAAGTAATTTTTTGGGGTATCTGTACTTTACTTCTCAATTTTTAGTCATTTAGCAGACGCTCTTATCCAGAGCGACTTACAGTTAGTTAGTGCATTATTTTTTAATACTGGCCCCCCGTGGGAATGGAACCCACAACCCTGGCGTTGCAAATGCCATGCTCTACCAACTGAGCTACATCCTGCCAGCCATTCCCTCCCCTACCCTGGACCAATTGTGCACCGCCCCATGGGTCTCCCGGTCGCAGCCGGCTACAACAGAGCCTGGATTCGAACCAGGATCTCTAGTGGCACAGCTAGCACTGCGATGCAGTGCCTTAGACCACTGCGCCACTCAGGACACATACTATTTATATTTTTGACAAGTTTTACTTTTACTTCACTACATTCCTAAAGACAATAATATACTTTTTACTCCATACATTTTCCCTGACACCCAAAAGTACTCGTTACATTTTGAATGCTTAGCAGGACAGGAAAAGGGTCCAATTCACACGCTTATCAAGGCAACATCCCTGGTCATCCCTACTGCCTCTGATCTGGCTTACTCACTAAACACACATGCTTCGTTTGTAAATTATGTCTGTGTTGGAGTGTGCCCCTGGCTTTCTGTTAATATAAAAAACAATATGGCGCTATCTGGTTTGCTTAATATTAGGAATTTTAAA